CAAGTTGTGGGGGTGTTTTGTTTTTTTTTTTTTAAGTCAGCATTTTCTTAAGTAGTTAAAATAATAAATACACCATTTCGTGCTTCAGCACAATAAATTTAACTGAGATTTCCTCTCCCACTTACAGTTGCTAAGGATCAAGGATGAAAGAACAATTTGTAAGTCCCTTGTCACCAATATTTTAATATATAGACCAAAACAGGACTTTCCTTTTCCGCCTCCAGTTATTCAGAAATTGCCTTTTCTCTCTGAAGCCTAAGCTATATGCAACTGTGCATAAAACCAGTCCCACTGGGGGTGATGGAGAGCACGACCCAGTGTGCTCTCCGCAGTCCTCTGCACCCTGAAGTCAGGGGGAGAGAGGAGTTCATGGGGTCCCACTCCTCCTTTTGGGCTGCAGGAGCTGAATCAGGGAGTGAAGCAGCACAAGTCCCATCCTGCCAGGCAGGTTTGCTTTGTACTGCTTGACAGTCTCAGGGGAGGCCTTTATTTGATCCCACAACTTAGAAATCCAGGCTCCCCATCCTATAACCGGACACAATAACATGACCTTCAAAGCATTTTGGATAAAGAAAAGAGAAAGGGGTTTGTGAAGAGAGGAAACACCTTTATTTCTGCAGGAAGCAATTACTTTCTCAGATTTTTCCATGGGGAAGGCTGGCTGAAAAGCTTTCAATTACCCATTTCACTGAAACAGTTTCCGACAGAGTGACAGCTGAAATGCAAGACATATGTTGGGCCTGTCTGTATTTGAAGTAAGTCAAGGCTTCAGTCCCAATGAGGTTTTGGGGGGCTCCTTTTGCTTGACCTTTAAGTACTTTGGACAGACATTATCTTTCCAAGCAGAGGGTTTACCATTTGATAGGTGAGGCTTGCCAACACTCTTGTGAAGATTGTTGGCCAGCAACAGTTTGCAAAAAGAGCATGGAGTTCCTGGTGGGTAAGTCATTGGCTCAGGGAAAAAGAGCATGCAAGCAGCTGTCTAAATAGACATAGTTATCCATTAGCATCAACACTGACATGGATTAAACTCGAACCTTTCTTCACACCACTGGAAGCACAGGGATGCTACAGGCAATTAATAGATCTAACATTTACAGCAAGAGCAAAACAGTCAGATCAGCAGCAAATTTGGATTTACCTCAATCTCCCTCAAAAGTTCAGACTGGCCGCAGGTTTCCAAATCCTCCAAAGCTTCTCCAAAAACACGCCAAAAACTATCCTCGTGAGTGGTCTCAAGGCCATTTTGGCGGTTGGGGTATCTGTTGTAACGTAGGAACCAAACATTGTCAGCACTCTTCTGCAGCGGGATGAAAGCCGCGAGGCTACAGCAAGTGTCTCACCAGTAAAAGCAGAGACTTGAAGAGTCTTCATATACAAAAGCAAACAATATGAACTTTTCAGACAAGAGTCCGAATACGAGACCTCCATGCATTTACTAACGGGGCAAGTGTCCTTCAAAGGAAGAATTAAGTTGGTGTAGTAATGTCAAAGTTCAAAGGGTAAATTAAAAAGTGCCTGTAGGAAGATTGTAGGTTTAGGAAGACGTTTTGGTGAAATAGAGAAGTGAAAGAAAAAAGGATGCATTATGGGTAAACCAGGAGCCTCAGAGACTGTTAGTACAAAGGCTGATGGGATAGAGCTCAGATCTGAGACACAGAACACCTGAGAAGAGAGAGAAAAACACAGAGGGTAACAGACATGGTGAGAAAATGGTAAATACATTAGGTCTCTATGAGAGCAAATAATGCAAAGATGTATATAAAAATGATTGCCCTGGGCCAGACAAGCAAATGCACACTACAGCCAGCAATATCGACAGTGTCATGTATAACCCATACAAACCAAGTTTCATTTGCTTTGGGATGGCCAGGGAACTGATCTGTTACTTTCAGGAGGTCTCTTTTGTTTGCTATAGAACAGCGATGGCACTTACAGCCATGTAAATATGGCCACCAGCTCTATCTACAACAGAGAATAAGGATAGAGAGAACCTCTCTCAAGTTGGTACAAACACACATTAATGTGAACACCGTGTGCATCTTGCTGGGAATTCTGCAATTTCCCACCTTGGCAGTTTCAGCTTCTCTTATCTCTGACTACAAGCTCTGACTACAGGTTCAATTCTTGGACTTCTACAGCAAATAGCAATTAAACCTGCTGAAGTCCTCTGAACAAGCCAGCGAAGTAGGTGACACCGGACACTGCTTACTGAACACCAGGCTCTGTCCAAAACTCAGACTGTCAGCACTCAGTTTAACAGGAGCCTCTTGAAGGAAACTCTCCACGGTGTTAAATCAAAGTTATGATAAACCCACTAATGTGTCATGGGGAGAGACCCCAAGGGGACAGTGACATTAAAGCAGCCCTAATGCATCTTCTATGCATCTTATTAGGAGCTACCTGGACAAGGCTCCACCTCTGCAACATCTGGAAGCATCTCGCATGGCTTAATGGTCATCAGTGTCACAGATGGGAAGGGACACTCATCCACCAGAGCCACTTAGCAAAGTCAAAATGTTTTACTTGAGTACAAAGTATCTCTGAGAGAGGTTGGCCTCCATTAAATAGATAATGACCCCTAGGGCTATTAATAGAGCTTTTTCCAGATCTCTATTAACTGCGAAGTCTTTAGCACAGGCTTTGCTTTTCATCCCTTGGTTTAAATGGGAGTCTGTAGCAGGCATAAACTCACATACACACACGTTTTTGCTCCTTGTGGGTTCGTGACCTGCCTGGAGACAGCAGTATCTGACATGGCTTATTGTGTTTTAAATTTACCCCTTACCTTTCATCAGCTTTTAAAGCACACTAGCCTTTACACCAGGCAGAAAGGTCAAAAAAAACACCCAGCAAGACTTTATAAAAACAAACCAAAATTTCCCCCCAAAAGGAATTCTTGATTCTTTCCCCTTACTCATTTCCTTCCTCTGCTCCCAGGTTCCCAAAGAGGCAAAAGTCCCTTCCAGTTACTTGTTTCTTGCCTCCCAGATCAGCAATATAACAAACACATCCAGGACACAGATGAATCAGTATGGGCTCTCACACCACTGGGTCAGCAGGTTTTTCCAGGCTAAAGGCAGCTGGGGTTAGACACATTTTAAATTTTCTCCTTAATAAAAAGGGCTCAGCGGCATGAACCGTTTCACTTGCACTTTGACATCAGGTCTCGGAGCCTTCATTAGGGACACACGGGGCTTTGAGCGCTCAGATTTGCTAACTTCATAGAATCATAGAATGCTTTGGGTTGGAAGGGACCAGCTGTCAGCAGCCTCACTGGGAGGGCCATGAGGGATCAATGACCTCTGTGAGCCGGCTCTCACTGAGAGGCAAAACAAGAACAAAGTCTCTGCTGCTGCCAGCCTTCCTGCCAGTCTGATCATCTTTAAATAGGTGGAAATGGCCATGAGATGTTCTAAGGGTTTTGTTTGGACAAACAAAAGTTAGGGAAAAGAGTAAGAAAAAAAAAAATAACCGACAGTAACAACACAACACACACAACTATGGGGACTCTGGAGGATGTTGAGGGGCGGGTTAGTTACGAAGCAACGAGGCTTTTCCACCATGTATGGCTCAGCCTCTGGCCAGTGCAGATCCAGCAGGATTTTCACCCAAAACAAGGGGCAGCGGCAGCCTCCTCCATGGGCTTGGGAGGTGTTGCAGGATTTCTCCCACGCTGGCAGAGCCAGGGCATTAACTCAACCATGATCACTCGGCGAGGCTTTGACCATGGTGCTGGAAGGGCCAAAGTGTTATGGAGAGAGATGTCCAGCCACAGCTTTGGGAGATTTTAACTTAGACATGCAACCTCATACTGGTCCTCAAAGAGCTTTGGCTGGCCTTTTTGGCTTTGTGGCACCAAGCTCTTGTGAAGCCGCATCCTCACTTGAAAGTGTCTGGCCAACACAAGAGGGGACAGCCCTGGCCATGCCTATTTATTACACCTAAACTATGAAAATACTGCAGCCTTTACGTGGCAAGAGTATGAGACATGGTAAGAACCTGTGGTCCATGCAGCTGAGACCGCCCTAACTCCAGACACAAATGTCAGCTGGCCATGGCAAAAGTGCCATAGAGCTACAGCCAGGGTAACCTGGCAATGTGGAGGTGGTTTGACAGAGCAGATCACCACCCCAGCACCCCTCCCCATGGCTGCACGATGCTGAGATGGGGACATCACTGGCCACTTCATCACATTTCCATGCTCCCTTGTCCCTATGCAGTGACAAACACGTTTGCAGATGTGCCTCCCTACCTCCTCCCACCCCTCCGTACCTGCTGGGCTTGTCCCAGTCATCTTCACTGAAACTTCCATCCATGTAGGGGTAGTTTTTCCTGGGGTCCCCCGGAGGGGTGCTGCTCTTTTGCCTGCTGTGTCTCCATTCGTGCGGGTGGAGGGCTATGCCTGCAGCCTGAGGTATGTATGTACCTAGGGAAGGCAAGAGGGTGTGGAGAGAGAGAGTAATACCTGGTCAGCAAACTCGAATGGAGTTAAGTCATGCTGAGCCAGGAGAGCCTCCTTCCCCAGGTCCCAAACCTGAGGCCATCTGGATTACATACTGCTTCCATTTCGATCACCCAAAAGGAGTTGTTCTTCCCATCTCTTCTGGCTTTAACCACAGCATCTTCTCAGGATCTTGTCATAAGGTGCCCCATTTCTCCCTTGCTCCCCTCTTCTAAGTAGCTTTGTGGTGTGGGTCCAGGATCCACAAACCTGGGACTACACATACCTACAGATGCAGATCCTATGCCCAGCCAGCTCCAACCTTAGTTAATGGCTTCTGTTTCCACACCAAACGGAACAGAAATTGTGCTGCTGAAAATAGAAAATTGTGCTGTTTAAATACAGCGAGTCCTTCAAAGGGTAAAGAGAAGATGCTGCCAAGCCTCCCTCAGCATGCCCAACCCCATTCATTTTGAATTATTTGGAAGCCTGATTTCTATTGGGGGTCGGGGGGGAGAAATCTTTGTTTAGATTCTTAACTGTCTTTGGGACTTAACAGATAGCATGAAAAAAATTAATAGACTATAGAAGGACAGCAGAAAAGAAACTGCATCCAGAGCAGCCTGATGCAGCAGCCTCCCTTCAACAAGTGTGATGGTGCTGAGGGTACCTGGTGGTGGTCACCAGCTCCAGTGTGCTCAGCAGTGGTAAATGAGGAAGAGCCAGCCCTGATCTCGAGAGCTGCCAGCCAGTTCCCACAGGTGGCAGAGCCCTTCCATGCCTTTGGGATTAGCTGGTGCAGGTACATTGGGGACATGTGTGTGAAAGGCAAGGAACAGGAGGAAAAACTCTGCTGGCTTGAGACAAGGGGAGGCTCATCTGTATCACATTTGATAGGAGATCAATACGGACTGTTAGGATGAAACCAGACAAGTTGTGCTATGTCTGCCCCCAAGGACTCTCCTGTACTGTGGTGTCTTGCTCCAGAGATGCAAATCCAACATTACCAAGTCACAAGATCCCCAGGTCTCACGAGGAGCTGTCTGGACAGAAACCTTCCAAAACCGAGCATTCCTCAGCAGTGTCAGTGCCATCTGCAGTGGAAATAAATCTCCCGAGTCCCCTGCCCACCCCCTGCTGCCCATTCAACATTTCAGAGAAATCCTCACAGCCTTTCCAAGAAACATTGTACACTTCCATCACATGCTGTGCCAAGCGAACAGGAAGAGGTAACGGAGAAACACATAATTAAGGGAGACTTGACCTCCCAAACAGCTAAGAGCACTGGAAATACCCAAAGACAACGCCAGCACTTTCTTTGAAAATGCCAAGGCCTGTTATTTCACTTAGCTGAGCGTTTCCTCTGTATGTTTTTAAAGGTTAGACTGCTCTGGAGAGAGCCCCAGAAAAGTGCTTGCCAACATCTTACAGCAGTCAGGAGCGCTCACTGCCTGCCAGAGCAGAAGGTCCCTGGATGCAGGTTCCGCCTGGATGCTGCGGGTGGGCAGCAGGTTTGGGCTGGGCGCAGGGGGCCGGGGACTGCAGGGGTATATATGCAGAGCTGTCACTTGGGTGCCACTGGTTTCACCTCCTCCTTCCAGGGAGACAGGCTGGATCCCTAGGATTCAGAGCCACCTGGTGGCATGTTCCCACCAGGCCCAGCACAGCTCCCTCGCCCAAACCCTTCCCTCAGCAGTTTCCTAAAGCTGTGGATGAACCTAAAACCCGCAAGGCTGCAGAGCCCAATCCATGGTTCTCCATTTGGGGTGTAAACCCTAATCTCCAGGCTCTGGGTGTCCCAGGTGTCCCTGCATCCTGCCTTCCTTGCCCACCCCGTGGGTGACCCCGCGTGTCCTTCTCCCTGCCCTCCAGCATCCCTCTTCCCAGCCAGCACGAGCACATCACTATGCAGCCAAATGCAATTACCAGGGAAGGCAAGAGAGCCCCTGAAGCAAAGGTGCAGTCTATGGATGTTGGGCAACTTGGCATCAGCCCCGCTCCCTGGAGCTCTGTGCTCAATTACTCGTTCTCAATTTACTGGTAAAAGCAATCGCTTTGCTAAATCCAGTGTCCAACTTGTGTTAACATTCAATTAGATGGAGAAGGATTGCAGCATTATGAAGGCCAGGGGATTCCTCCTTAATGAAGCCTCCAGTCCCAACTGCACTCCCAGATGAAGGCTTCAGACCAATGGAGGCTGAAGGAAGACACAGGCATGGTGGAAGAGACACCCATGCGGTGCTGTCCTTTGAACTTTTCTAAGTCAGAGCGTAGTGAGCACAGGCACGCATCCTGCTCAGCACATTGAAAGTGCTTTGCAACAGTACTCCTGCAGCATCCCTCTCTCTTTTCACATTCTGTTCCGGACAGCAGTCTTTTCACCAATTTCCTTCTGCAGAGGTGATTCAGGGGTTTGTTTTCTTTCAACATGGGCTAATACTAGCTTATGTCACTAAATCTGAACTGGAATAACTATTTTTTCATTGCCTTCCTCCAAGTAAAAATCTATTCCCATGACTAGAGCATACTCCATCCCAGTTCCATATGTCTGCCAGAAGCCACAGCTGAATAAGCCTGGCCTCGAAGACATGTGTTCATCTGATCACTCACTGGAGAGTTAGAGATACTCTCTTGTAGTATTACCTTAATTATTTTGTTTAGTGAGTGCTTCTAGTCACAAAACATTCTTGTGGATTTTAAAACATCCTGAAGAGGATTAATATGTCCTGCATGGCCTCTCTGGAGAATTAAAAGTGAGCTATGGACCAAATACTCTGTAAGACATATGGCCAGTGAATACTTCCTCTGATTATGTGAATTATAAAGTGCTGTAACAGCTTTGAAAATGCTGTGAACAGTATGATGCCATATAAGCCAGAAGAAATGTGCCAATAAAGACTTAAAACAGATACATCAACTCAGAGCACCACATGAGTGCATTTTAAAATACATTTTGCTCCTTGCTGGAAGTGAGAAGCCATGCAAATGCAGTCAGACCACAGGCTTTGACTCACATTCAGCTTCCAAACAGGTTTAGAGGCTCTGCCTATCTTCACCTTGGCCAGAGACCCCTAAGAAAAGACAACCCTGGCTTACCTTGGCTTCCATACCCGGCATCAATGCCAGAGCCATCCCAGGACTCCATAGCACTGTCCACGCTTGGAATTGTGGTGGAGTATATCTCAGACAGCTTGCTAGTTTTCTGGGAGTCCGTTAGTTCATCTTCTGGGTCGCTCACTTCATTTATACTCCCCGACTTCTTGGGATAGGATTCTGAAACCAGAACATGCCTCTTCAGCAGGCACGAAGTGCAAGCCTCAGGGAAAGGCTTATGCTGACATATGAGCAAGCCCAGGTACTGTAAGTCTTTTGAAGAACCTCTTTAGCTCTTCAAAAGTAGCTGGGAAAGGCCTGTGCACTACAGTTGAAAGGATTTCATGCAGTACTCTTATCTTAAGCTGAATCAAGAAAAAGCGCCTGAGTTTTTAGCACATGGAATATAAAGAGCAACCATGGAGATTTGAGGATTCCCAATTACGAGAGAGCTGGGACCTAATCTCAATTCACAAATGCATCTTCTTGAGCCTTTGGAAGCTTCCTCTGAACAGCCCTGCCCAGAGAAGTGTTGGCCTTTGCAAGCAATAGCCCATAGCTTCTCTGGTCTCAGAGAGCCTCCTTTTTACTCAGATCAGCAGTGCTTCCAGCCAAATTGCTTTTGGCATGATCTGCCTTTGGGGACAGGACCCAAACAGTGCCAGAGCAGCACCTAGTCAGGGTGCTGGCTGCAAACCTTGTGTTAAAAGCAGATGTTTCAATGAGATTCCAATAACAACGTAAGCTGGTCCCAAACTACCACAGATGAAGTTATAGCCCCTTTCCAAGATTGTACAACCTCGTATCAATTCAGGGCTAATCACCACCTCTCCAAGAGTCTCCCATGCAGTCTCATGACAACGGTAGAATTCCTGGGCCTGGTATTTTGAGGCTGAATTTCCCCTGATTAGTGACTGGAAAATGGAAAGCTGGATGTGGATGATGAAGCTCAGACCTTTCCTTTCATTATTTTAGTAATAATAGGCCCTTACTTTCATTATATCAAATTCCCTTTCAGGCAAAAGCTATGCAAGGAATCATTTCTCAGCACAAGCATTTCTTTGTACTGAATATTTTAAAGTCCTCGTTGATTAGATATCCTGTTAGCCATCTGCACCCTGGATCTCCAACTCACAGAGGCTGGGAAGAAAAGCCCTCTGAAAGTCTGCATTTGTCAATGAGGACAAATTATTTTACCAAACAAAGGCAAGTGTCCTAAAAGTCCCTATTTTCCAAGCATTCAGAAGATTGCTCACCATGATTAACTCAGGATTACCTTGAAATTTCAATTATACCTGCTTCAATCTCAGAATGATTAACGAGTCTCCAACTGGCACTTGCATGTCAATTATTTCAGCAAGTCGCTGTGACAGTGCTAAGTGTCAGCGGGGCGGGGGGAAGGAGTATTTCAGACCAAGGATCAAGACACTTGGCTGCAGGGAACAAGACTGGGATTTCTTCAAGAGAAAACAATTCGCCAGTTCCATCTCTATTTGCTAAGTCCCCACCCCCTGCCCAGGCTTCCTCCATTTGTAAAATAGGTGCAGCATTGCCACACATTTGCAAACTGCTTTGACGTCCACAGAAGTGCTATGTTTAAGAGCAGTGCTACTTTTTCAGATGCAGGACAGACATCCCACAGGCCTGGCTGCTTGGAAGAGCTTTATCACTTGATGTCTTTCAATTTCTGCAGCATGGTGGGCCACTGGCTGGGTAGGTCCAGCTAAAACTAGAGACTGCAAGAAGCATGGCACAAAAAAGATAGAAAATACTGGGTGTGGGGAGAGACAGAAATGCAGCCAGAATGCACCAGGTACTTTCTGAGCTTGATGAAAAAGCCTCTGTTTCACTGTGACTTCACAGAAGCAGTCAGGGAGAAAAGTTTGCCTGTTCCCTGGTTTCCCTGATCCCTCCTCTCTGTCCCCCAAAAAAGTGGTCTGCCTGTACGAAGCATGCTCCTGCTCTTTGATACCATGTCAAGAAGAGCAGCTTCAAAGCCGCAGGGAGCTCGTCAAGGAAACAAGAAGGGGATTTGTAGAGTGAAGGATGATCTTAGGACCCTTAGTCAGAAAAAGGGGTGTAAAAGATTTCTTGTCAATTGCTTTCAAAAAGTTGAATTAAAGTGTTTGGGTGTTTTTCCCCCATGGATTCTACCAGCTCAGAGTACCCTTGTTCATTTTCAGGGGGTTATATTTCAAAAAAACCTTCACTCTTCTACTATTAAAAGCATCTGCTGCTTCAGCATTGTGTGAAGCACCCATACAGACAGGGAATGGCAACAGCGGCACAAGGTGTCAATCTGAAAAAAAAAAATATTGTCGCCAATAAACCTGCTGTCTAATCTCTTCCCAGTACTGCAGAGAGCCCCTGGTTGCCTTTTTTAAAATCCATGAGTCAGAAGTCAAAAAAACACCCATCTTTTCCCTCTGTCCCCAGCCATGCCCCTGACCATGATGCCTTGTCTCACCTTCCACAACACGTGAAGGAAAACCCACAGCACTACCTACTCCATCGCCCGGGGTTCCTGCTGGGGTGCACCTTCACCCTCCCACCCCAAACCAGGCTCCCCAACTCACTCTCCGTCTGCTTCTTGATCTTCAGAGTGACCGTCTCTCCCGCCATCTGCAGCAGGTGAATGGCTTCGCTCAGTGGTTTGCCCTTGAGGCTCACATTATTAATCGCTAATATCCGGTCACCGACATGGATGGCTCCAGTTCTGGAGAGGAAAGGCGCTGTTAGAAACTTCAGAGAAGCAATTTGCTTATGCAAGACAGGCCATTAAGTTGTCGCTTGAAGCAATAACATATTAACTCTCAGCACTTTCAAATATGCCCTGGTTTGCCTTTGGTATGCTGTATACCTGTGATTTCCTCTTCATCACCAATACCAGGAATCTGGGTTCCCCCATATCTTCCATCTGGGTATATACATACATATACACACAGGAACATAAGAACTCCTCAGATCCCAGGCCCCTCAGGAACTGGGACTGTAGACCAGCTCCCAGTCAAAACTCTTCAAAGTAAAGGGGTCTATGTGCTAAAAGCACAAGCATTTCCAGTATGTGATGTCCACTGGTCGCCACACATGGAACTGGAGGGCATGTTCACACTGATGGAAAGAAACAAGACTAGACAAACCTAGAAACCCATTAAAAAAACAAAAAACCAAATGGCCCAACACACACAGATTATGTGTGCAAGCACAAGCTGAACCAGTTGCAGATCAGTTGATGATATGTTTAAAGCTCACTCCCACACAGCTACACACCACTGTGACTTTCTCCATCAAGACCACTGCGCTAGAAGAGGTTACTGTGTTTTATTGCACAGCCACGTTCCAGCACTGGCCTCTACTCTCAGGTTTCAGCAACAGCTGGGAACAAACTAACAAGTCACGACATTTCTTCCCCTTCTGCATCCTTCCCTCTGTGCCTGCCTACAGACAGGGGCTCACCCGGCATTTGCTGCAGCTCTGGGAAGAGTAGGCAGGACAGGATGCGTCCACCGCCAGAGCTGGCAGCCGAGGCAGGAGCTCGCACTCGCTGCTGGCTGGACCGAGCTCACCACGCTCATGCTCCAGCTCCCTAATGCCAGCAAGCAAGAGCAGCAATCCTCTCCTCCTCCAGCTGTGCCATGAGGTTTAGCTATCAGGAACCTGTGCAATCGAGCCAGGAGCAGATGCAAATCTGGACCACAATATCTTTTTGTCCATGGCAACGTGCCTCTCTTAGGTTACATCTCCAAATTGGACTGCTGCTCCTGCAGAATTGGGATTTGATGTACTGTCACAGGCAAAACAGCTACTTGTCTTTCCCCAAAATACGAAACTTTTGTAGACATGCTGCTGTGAAACATCTACTGTAAGTAAATCAAATTGGGAAATGTAGCCAAACAGCAGGCTGGACTGTTTGAACTGCTGCTGGAGTTGTTGAGATACTTGGACAGTGCCACAAATGTCCCAGCCAGCCACTAGATGTCCGTCTTGTCCCATCCAAATCAGCCTGAAAAAGCCCTCAGTGAAAACTTGTGCATTCAAATAAATTACAGATCAAACTAGAACAGGAGAATTTGTCTTAAAAGTTTCATCTACGTAGTCAAAAAAAAAATCAAGCTTAACTGCTAGCAGTTTAAAGGCGATCCTTTGCTCACTGCAGTGGTTCAGCATTTGAGGGCCCCCTGCCGTAGCACTGAACCCAGCATGGGGACGCATCTCCTATCCAAGACACCAGCCCAACTGCCCACCTCTGAACAACACAACTGGTCTGCAGAAACTGTGAAAGTCTCTCAGTAGGGAAAAATACAGAAACAATTAAAGACGAAGGTCATGTTCAGCCAGGTGTTTTTCTTCAAGGGGGGAAAGTAAATCAAAGTCCAGTCCTCTCATCTGTCCACCTCCAGGCACCCCTGTGAGGACAAGCAGGCAGAAGCTGAGTGGGAGCGACAGAGAAAGCTGTTTCTAGCTAATGACCCTTGTGCCTCTCCATCATCACTGACAGTCCTTAATTCCTCAAACGCAAACCATCCCAAGGAGCTGCGTGCTCCATGTCCCTCCTTGCTCAGAGGACACATGCAAGAGCAGAATCGAGCAACAGGCCAGTTGCAAGGTGTAAAAGGGACTGCAGGCACTCCAGCTGGAGGAGAAGTGGCTGCATGCATGTGGTAGGGATTTACCTGGCACGTGGGTAGGGCCACCATCCCTTCTCCCCCTGCCAACACGGGTTGGTGCTGAGCAGTCCTGGACAAAACCTTCTTGCAGCCACCCCCATCTACTTGACCTGGTGGCACTAGAGGAGGCTGGCCAGTCCCTTTAAAATGCCACTGACGGCCCAAAATTGCTCTTGGAGAACCATGACACCTGGATCAGAATTGAACAGTATGTTCAGGCACACTCCCTTCCCCAAGAAGGAGAAAAATGAGTCCCATGGCCCAGGCTAACCTAGCCACCCGCAGGTGCTGCAGGAGGGTAAACAGAGACTGACGTGGGAGAGAGCCACCGCTCGACACCAACCCGACAGCCTGAGCTGCCTCTGTAGGTTTCTATAGGATCAGAGACGTACAAGGAGAAAAACGTTCAAGGTCAAGATAAAACCCAAGTCATCTGAATCTGGAGCCTTTTTAGCTTAGACAGCCCGTCACCTGCTGTGACAGACATGTGATAGATCCTAGAGGACACCCTGCCTTCCCCATCACTAAGTGAGCAGCCCGAGCTGCAGCGCAGACCTTCACTCGTGCCTCTACGAGAGCAGCCAGCGCATACCTGTTATCGGACACGGGGATCTTGTCTGCCCTGCGCCAGCGCTGCTGAAACATGTCCTGTGCTCCAGCAAAAGCCAGGCACAGCTTTGGGTTTAAATCCCTGTCCTTCAGAAACCCGTCCCACGCTTCAGAGCCCGGCTAAGGGCACCTGTGGCACAGGGAAGGGTAGTGACAGCAGGAAAGGGACAATTTAGGATAACACTAGGACCACCCCTCTTCCCTTGACAAGGTCGAGCCAATCCCTTCTGTTACTCCCAGGAGAATAATATGCACCATCTCAGCAGAAAAATATGCACCTTTCCGGCAGGCAGCCTTCATCCCAGCGCTCCTCACTCTCCCCACAGGGAGCCAATGTTACCCAGAGAAATCCCGGTTCCACTCCGTCCCCATGCCGCTCCCTCTATGCAGGCACCGTTATTTGTTAGTCTGCTACAGTGAACATGCTGAACAGCCCCATCGCTCTTCTCAAAAGGCTTTTCATGCCACCTTCTGATCAAAATTCAATAGTACTGCAGCACTTGCCTGTGCTGTGTTTCTCCGTGGAGCAGTCACTGATGTGTATCCGAGTTCAAAGGAGGAACAGCCACGGCATTGCAAAGGGAACTGAGAGCAACAAGGGTACGAGACCGTCTTCTGACACCTGACAGCATTTGGGCTTTCTGTCCTTAACCTCTCTCATGCTGGGCTGCAGGTACAGTGCAGAACTGCTATGCAGAAAAGCCTTAGATACTCTGTGGCTATTATTTTCTAGGGAAAAAGACTGAATCCTACAGTGGCAGGCAGTAATATAAAATCCCCAAAGAGAACCACTAATGACTAAGCCCATCCCTCTTCCTTACTTCTCGGGAGACGCTGATGTTCTGCTTTCTGTACCAGAGGAAAGCAATGGAAATGTGCAGCAGCATGCATGCTGAAGAGCTCGAGGAACCCAATGCAGAAAGAGGCACTGAGCTGTTTTACAGTCCAGCTAAGAGGGAGCGTGGCCTTGAAACAGAAAGAACCAAAAGGCCACGCTGCAGTCAAACGTCCCCAAGGTCTAGCACTTTACACCTATTCATTCAGAGGTTTTTTGCTGCTGTTCTGCCTGTCAGGCAGCACAGGGTAAAGCAACCCTATGAGAAGCATGAGTCAGGGTTGCTGAAATGATCTATTTACAAGTCACAGCTACCGTATAGACAGATTAATTAAGATACAGTGTATGACTCAGTTCCACCTTATATCCTCAGCAATGTTCTGATCCTTTAAATCCCCCGCATGCACATGTATTCAGACACAGGCACATACACAGTCAACCTCCCTGGTTGCCGAAGGTACACCTGCACCTATATATATGCAGCATAAATGTCTACTGCTTGAGGCACACCAGTCCTGCACTGAGATACCTCCATACCTAGCAGACTAAGCAACCAGCAAGGACAGGCCAGAAGACCCCTGAGATCCATGGATTCAGCACGAAGCAACACAGTTTAGCAACAGGTCAGTCCTGGACAGGAATCTGTGGTGGGTTTATGGGCAGGCTGGGCACTCTCCCCATGCAAGATGTGGCATGGGAAATCACAAACCAGGAAGCACCTCTGTGGAAGAGAGGCAGATAAACACATTTTCCTGGGTGCTGCATTCAACCGACACAATAGATCTGACTCTTCCACAACTGCCCTGCTTTGAGCTTCTCTCATTGCCCTGACAGCATAGTCCCAACCACCCCACATCTCCTGCACGTGGGTCTGCAGAGCCAGATCGGCAGGGCTTCACAGCGCTTGGCACCTTCACAGCACCTTTCCTTTTTAGCAGACTAAAACACCTAGGAAGAGTTTATGACAGCAGAGGAATCTTTGCAAACTTCAAGATCCCTTCCCACATCAGTTCAACCTCTCTGCCCCCAAACCTCACCTTTCTGCCAGCCCTCGTTTAGTCAAACCCGAAATGACGATTGGATCGAAAGGTTCCTCCGTCCCAGAGATGGTTATTCCCAAGGGGCCGCCATATCGCTTCAGTTCCACTGTGTAGATAATAGCACCAGTTGTCTCCTGCTCATCTGAAAGAGAAAACAGGAATGCTGAATTTTTTAATTAGCCATATGAAAGAAGTCATAGGAAAGACTTGCAGCATTTGGAAGCAAAAGCCTGAGGTCTTCATCCGTGCTCATACCAAATAGGATTTTAACCTTCCAGGCTCCATTTAAGGGCAGAATAACAAAAATAGACTATAATCAATTGGAAAGTGGTGAGCGGACAGGCGACAGCCCTTATCTTTGTTGGTTTGCACTACCTATTGGGAAATGTCATTACAGTGGACAGGCACCAGTTTGCATCAGGATTTCTGTACCAGAGTTATCTTCATCCTTCCTAATCTTCAATTTGACCAGGTCCTCACACTGTCTTAAAATCTGGACAGCATCCTCCATTGAGCAATTGTCGAGTCGGATGTTATCAATGGCTAACAGCTTGTCTCCCGGCTCCAAGGTGCCAGTTCTATGTAGAAAGGAAAAGAAAACTAAAGGTACATTTGTATTTGCCTTTCAGATCCTGTGACGCATTAAGTCCTGCAGTGGCGATGACAATATTAACTTTTTACTGTCCTTGATCTTTTCTGGGACGCAATCATGAACAGAGTCTAGGACAATTACAAATTAAGAGAGGAAGTTTGTGTAGAGCATGTGTCAACACAGAACAAGGCAGAAATATTAGAAATACAGCCTGAGTATCCTGCAGCACTGAAAAATGCCTGATGTTTAGCTGGCAGATATTCTACCTTTTATGGAAACTCCTGTATGAGCACTCTTAGAAACGAGCCCTCCTGCAGCACTAAATTCCTCTGAAAGCCTTGCTATGAGGTGTTGGGATCAGAGGTGAAGTCAATAAATGTTGAGTTATTTGCACAGTTCTCCATCAGTGCCCACAATTCACTCACTCCATTCACCTGAGCAGGAGCTGAGACAGAGCAAACTACCTGATGAGCCATAGCACCTTATGGGATATATGAAGCCCTTTACCACATGCTCTTAAATGCTAAACATCCATCTCCTATAGGGTCAGCAGACCTCTGAATCAGTGCCCTGGCCACCTTCTCCATTAGCTCAACTCTACTTGCTTCAATACAGACAGTTTTTATTGCAAACCCTACTGTGGTCTAAGACAAACCTCTAGGGTTGACATCTCCTTGGATGCTGGCAAAATCCAGACCCAAGTGCTACTGCTTGGACTTCATATTACCTCTCATTACCGGGCCGGACATTTTGCAATAGTTTGGCAGATAGGAAATTCTGCACTCACCTATGCGCTACGCTCCCCTTCTTGATGTCAGAGATGATCAAAGGCTCCCCAGGCTTTCTGCTTGCAGCTGCAGAAGAGACACATGGGTACAAAGGTTGGTATTGAGTCTGCCATCTAGGAGGGGATGGTTAATGGGGAGAAAGAGCTATAGAGAAAGGCAATTTCTATTCCTTTGATAAAATGATGCTTCACACTTGAACTCTGGAAGCCACAGCAAGAAAAAGAAGCAGTGAATCTCTGCAAACATTTGTTGGTTGCCCTTTGCCTGGAATAGCAGCTAGCTGCTACCTTCGGTCTCCTCCTGAAGAAGGGGAGGACACAAGGTGTCCAACAGCAAGAGGTGGGACTGCCCAATCCCAGCACTGTTAAACACCCACCCACCCACCACATCTCTGACGCAAGACAGCAACTGAGTCAACGGCTATGGCAGTAGTCAGACATCAGCACTGCTGCCTAGGGAGTACCTAAGCTCAGCGCTGTGCCTAATATAAGCATTTCTGTGTTCTTGAAGTAAAGTGGGCTGGGAAATTTTCCTGGTGGAAAATAACCCAGGAAAAAACAGATAAAACATTGTTTTCCAGATGGTTCAGCTCTCCGGGCCACTTCATCATACAGCAGATAAATGAGGGCTGGTCTCAGTGCTGGAGTTGGAAGGGGTGGTTTCCAAACCTTCTCCCCCCTCCCCCCCGCCGATAACTTTTTCAGCCCACAAGAGATGCGAGTATGCATCTCTGGGAGAATTTGCATTTTCAAATTTGCCTGCAAGACCTGCTGCTCTCTTGAGAAACCCAAGTGAGATTTATGACTCGAACCCCTCCTGACCTCCCTGCCATCCACACACCAAATATACGCCAAGCGCATCCTTTTCACCCCACATCACTCCCTCCTGCCTTGCTACGGAAATTGCATTGTCTCATTTAAAGCTGACAGAGCTTCTCAGCAAAAACTGCATGCGAAGGCAGAAACTCACAGCACCTGAACGCATGAGATGCAGGTCAGAGATTAAAATATCTGTGAGGCAGGTGGCATCAACCACACAGAGATCCACCTGCCTGAACTGCTGTTAGAGAGCATCCCAGTCAGACATAAAGGAGTAGGTGCTTCCTCTTTACCAATCTCTCTGCTCTGGCTTTTTCTGTTGTTTACATTCATTTATAAGATTTAAAAACATATGTGCTAACCTGTCACCTTTAAGGACACCCTCTCCCAGATATAACTAAACCTTCTGTACTGAACAGAGCAAAGACAGCCAATCTCAGTTGTAGCAGGGCTGAGTATAAAAGTTAGGTCAGACAGCGAAGAGCAGACCGTGACTGATTTTGTAATAGTCACAGCAACGTGACTGCTGAATGATACAGACCCTGGAAGAATTATTTCCCCCATCTCTTACTGGAGTGTGATGCCAGGCAATTTTGGTCTGGACACTCACGTTCAGCTTGCGGCCACAGGTCAAAGAGAAGCGGATGGGTTGAGCAGATTCGCTGAGGGCTCGTGCCTATATTCAACCTGTCCACAGCACGGACCAGCCAGCAGATAGACCGACACATGCTGGGCAGAGCTGAAGTCTGGGAAGGAAGGACACGGTGCAGTAGCTAAAATCAATGCAGAAATCCCTGCCGCCTTGAGAAGGCCATACACCATGGGCTAACAGCACAGTGGACGGAGACATATTGCCCTGTTATTACTATTGCTCTTCTCTTTTTCAATATAGGACATGTATTTGCTGCTGAGAGGTGCACAATGAGGTGGTCTGAGCCAGCAGTGATGGGAGATCCTGTTAGCACTCCCTGAGCCCTAGGTTGGGCTGGCATTGCTGCATGTTTAATCGCTCCCTAGCCCAGTTCTGTCACAATAATCCAGGTTAGCAAAAATACTTTTCACTGCAAGGTTTGTTTATTAGTTTCAAAGCAGAGACAGCGTGACAGAAAGGGGTTAGGGAGGATAGCCACAGTCCTGGTGGTGGGTTGGGGATGGCCACCTCTAAACGTGACCCAGGCACAGCTGGAACAACATGTGCAGCGACTGCGAACACTCAAAAGAGCAAAGACAGGGCGGGGCGGAGGAGGAAAAAAAAAGCAGCAAGTATAGACAACAGCATGCCTCAAGCTCTAAGAAATGGTGTTTATCTCAGCGTCTGCCTTGCAAGCCCTGCAACACACTGCGGGGATCCTGCCCACAGTCAGTCTCTGAGCAGAGTGCGAGACCTCATCCCTCTGCAGCTCCACAGCTGGTGTCAGCGCTGAACGCAGCACAACCTTCCCATATCAGAAGCAAGGGTGACAAACCAAGTGCTTTGTCCATTAGGAAACAAAGCAAGTTTTAAGGAGAAATCATTCTAGGTTTTGTTTGCAGGTTTTTTTGGAAGTTATGCTTCCCAAACAGATTTTCTTGAGACTTCACCTGGAGTACCTGGAGTACTGCGTCCAGCTCTGGAGCCCTCAGCACAAGAAGGACATGGACCTGTTGGAGCGGGTCCAGAGGGGGGCCACAAACACGATCCGAGGGCTGGAGCACCTCTCCTACAAGGACAGGCTGAGAGAGTTGAGATTGTTCAGCCTGGAGAAGAGAAGGCTGCGGGGAGACCTTATTGTGGCCTTTCAGTACTTAAAGGAGGCCTATAGGAAAGATAGGGACAATCTTTTCAGCAAGGCCTGTTGTGACAGAACAAGGAGTAATGGTTTTAAACTAAAGGAGGATAGATTTAGACTGGATATAAGGAAGAAATTTTTTACAATGAGGGTGGTGAAGCACTGGAACGGGTTGCCCGGAGAGGTAGTAGAGGCCCCATCCCTAGAACCATTCAAGGTCAGGTTGGATGGGGCTCTGAGCAACCTGATCCAGTTAAAGAGGTCCCTGACACTGCAGGGGGGTTGGGCTAGATGACCTCTAAGGGTCCCTTCCAACCCAAAACATTCTATGATTCTATGATTCAGTTAAATGAAAAAGCCATGTACAACCACATACAATCGTCCCTATCTTCAGAGTACCCAAAGTTTAACAAATGGCAGCCCTCTTCTAAAAAAGTCACGTATTATAAAATGGAAAGGCTTTATAAAATCATCATTATTAGTCAGCACCTACAAATCTGAAGGGTAAGTTGGCGAGACTTAATGAATAATCATTCTCTCTCAAGAGGCATAAGATACAAAGTTAAGATAATGAAATCTCAAAGCACAGAACAGTCACTTGCTGTCCATTTTAAAAACCAGCAGTTAACTCTGTTAATTCACCTTTGGCATCCCAAAGCCCTTCCCGGCACCCCAGCAGAGCACCCAGCTGGGCTTTCCACCCATCACCTGGGACCAGGCTGCCCCTGACTGCCACAGCCACCCTGGGACCCACGTTTTTAACAGTCCTGGGCTGTAACAACAGTTTTTAACAGTCTGTAACAGGCTGTAACAACTGTTCTTAACAGCCCTGGGCTGGGGTAACAATGTGCCTCTGCGTAAGGGCTGCCCTGTTTACAGACAGGAGAGCTGCAATGCCACTGAAGTGGTGCCTCAGTCAAGGTCAGAGGCATTAGATATGTAGATCACTGGTGAGATTTTTGATAAACCATTTCCAATTTGTCTGCAATTAAAAAAAAAAAAACCAACCTTAAACTACGTTATTAATTTATTAGAGCTGTGGTCTTTGGAGTTAAGACACTTGAACAGATGAGTAAAGCCTTTTTATCCATTCATTTCTGCTCTCAGTGTGGTTATTTCTCTTCAAAGGACATTGTCTTGGTAATTGTTTGCTTCAGGAAGACACAGTTCAGATGCCCAGCCTTGCCTCTCTGGGTCTTGGCTTCCTGTCTGTAAAACGGAGACAGCAGCAAAGGGAGTCGAGGGAAAAGATGGCTGGAGAGACAGAAACAGAAGCTGGTGCGCAGAAACGCATGCTCTCTCTTGGCAGGCACTCTGGTTGTGGTCTCCATCTACCAGCGCAAACCACTTCAGGTGGAAGTAGGCTCTTTTTCAGATACATTTGTATTTTTGGTGTGTTTACCAGTACAAAAGAGAGTTTAAATCTGCTCCAGTGGCCCAGAGAAAGCTCCATAAATCACCAGCTGGTGAAGGTAGAAGCATGGAGTGGGGGAGAAACTCAAAATTAAAACACTGCTTGGCAGTGGTGACAGGGCAGTGATAAAAAGGTGAATTGATCAATACTGTTATTTACTTTTTATAAATTGCTTTCAGTCTCTCGCCACCTCTGCTGGGACTCTGGCTCACTCAGTGTTTACTCTGTGATGGATGATGAGGCCAGAAACACATGTCCGGTTTGTGTTTTTAATAGAATGCATAATGACTCGTATTGGTAAATTATTCCCCTCCAAGGGGCACGAGCACATATCTCTCACGCATCAACGGTTCAACCCATTATAAATGCCCTTCATTAATGACCGAGCCAAAGCAGCACTCTGCCAACGTGTAATTAAAGAAATTGTAATAATGCCATAAGAATACATTTAAGAAAGCAAACATTTATAAAGGGGAGAAACCAAACAAAATCAGAAACCAAATCATCTCAGGATAGCTAAGGAATGAGAAGAGGAATAAAAGCAAATCAGAATCGATTACAAAAAGCAGAAGTGAAAATCAGATCCCCAGTACCCAACTTTTTCTTCTATCGTTCATTAGTTTTAGCAGCAGGTGCATAAATTATCAGTGCCTCCAGCAGGGTATTTACCCTGCCGCAGATCTATTTCCTTTCAAAATCTCCAAGTAGCAAAACCAGGACAGAATATCTCACTTCAGTAAAAGCACCAGAGTGAATCAGCTGCAAATCTCAGTTGAAGCTGCAATGTTAGTGAGGGGGTAGGACAGGAGACTGCCAGGCACACTGCTGCTTGCAGACACGCTCTGCCGGGCTGGCGGCAGGTCCCAGGTTAATCCTGCACCAGCAAAACTAGATTTTCTTGGCTCACAGATCCATCTCCTCGCTAGGACAGTGATTACACTGCTTAAGCAACTTAATCGAAGTTCTCTATCTATCCAAATTCCGGTTTTATCACCCGCAAGCAGATATACTACCTACTCCTTATCTGCAGTACTTCACACCAAGGGCACAGGAATTGATTTGTTA